TCTCTGCCCCTCCCACAATGGTGAGATTTCCCTTCAGTAGTGGTTTATCTGCCCCTCCCACAATGGTCAGAAATGTGACTTCTTACCCAAAGCGAGTGCGTTCTCGGCTGCGTTGATGTAGGCGACGTTGTTAAACCGCACAAACTCCTCCGTCCTGGCCTATAGGAATGAGGAGCAACATATCGTTATATTATAACCAATCAGTGAACGGAGAATGAGGAAGACAGAGAAGCCAGGCAACGAGCATTTCTAGAAGGACGACAATGGCAGCCCACAGGTTCCTCTGAGCAAACTGGGCTGAGCTTAAAGCAGATCACCAGACATGGACAGAACAGGGAACACTCAGAGCTTCTGCCAGGTTTGAATTGTCTGTGAATCTGCTGGGGAGATTCACCCGCCTAGTTTTCTCCTGGTGACCGCTGACACTGATGGGATATTCAAAGCGTCACAGTTGTCACCAGCACAGGAAGTAAGGGGGAATCTTGTAAGGGGGACACAACTGCTCTGGTGACAACTGTCTAAGAGGGGAGATTCCCTTTACTTTGAAGAGAATACCTCTCACTTCCTGTTGTGGCCATAATGAGAAGTATTTACTCCCTATGCTCTTCAGCTCCATCTAGTGGCCATAATAATAAATATTTATTCCCTATACTCCTCAGCTCCATCTAGTGGCCAGAATAATCAATATTTACTCCCTATGCTCTTCAGCTCCATCTAGTGGCCATAATAAGAAGTATTTACTCCCTATGCTCTTCAGCGCCATCTAGTGGCCATAATAATAAATATTTATTCCCTATACTCCTCAGCTCCACCTAGTGGCCATAATGAGAAGTATTTACTCCCTATGCTCTTCAGCTCCATCTAGTGGCCATAATAAGAAGTATTTACTCCCTATGCTCCTCAGCTCCATCTAGTGGCCATAATGAGAAGTATTTACTCCCTATGCTCCTCAGCTACATCTAGTGGTCATAATAATTAGTATTTATTTCCTATACTCCTCAGCTCCATCTAGTGGCCATAATAAGAAGTATTTACTCCCTATGCTCCTCAGCTCCATCTAGTGGCCATAATGAGAAGTATTTACTCCCTATGCTCCTCAGCTCCATCTAGTGGTCATAATAATATTTATTTATTCCCTATACTCCTCAGCTCCATCTAGTGGTCATAATAATAAGTATTTATTCCCTGTACTCTTCCGCTCCATCTAGTGGCCATAATGAGAAGTATTTATTCCCTATACTCCTCAGCTCCATCTAGTGGCCATAATAATAAGTATGTACTCCCTATACTCCTCAGCTCCATCTAGTGGTCATAATAATAAATATTTATTCCCTATACTCCTCAGCTCCATCTAGTGGCCTGAATAATCAATATTTATTCCCTAAACTCCTCAGCTCCATCTAGTGGTCATAATAATAAGTATGTTTTCCCAGTGCTCCTCAGCTCCATCTAGTGGCCATAATAAGAAGTATTTATTCCCTATACTCATCAGCTCCATCTAGTGGCAGAAACAAGTACTGCATGGTCAATCTTTGGATTGAAGGGGAATGGTGCAGCAGAAGCTGGTTTTGGTTAATAGGCTATTAATATTTATCATTCAATCAGGATGTGTTGTCTTTCTCCGGGTCACAGAAGATTTCTGAACACACAAAAGTATTTTCTGAGGACAAAAGCTGACAGATTTAAAATGAGAAATATGAGACAGCAGATGCCACGTACCGCAGTCAGGTGTTTATCACTGACATCCACAGCGCAGAGGTCGGAGGGATCCTTTACATGATGGACCTTCACCTGGAGGGAGAGACAAAATAAAGAGCGGGCCGGGTACT